ATAACTGGAGAAAGTACAGAGAATGGCAACCAAACTGATAAGAGACATAGAGAGCTCAGCTATGAGGAAAGAGATTAAGGGGGGATATGATCTCCATGTATAATACATAAGGGGGGATATGATCTCCATGTATAATACATAAGGGGGGATATGATCTCCATGTATAATACATAAGGGGGGGGATATGATCTCCATGTATAATACATAAGAGGGATATGATCACCATGTATAATACATAAGGGGGGATATGATCTCCATGTATAATACATAAGGGGATATGATCTCCATGTATAATACATAAGGGGGGATATGATCTCCATGTATAATACATAAGGGGGGATATGATCTCCATGTATAATACATAAGGGGGGATGTGATCTCCATGTATAATACTTAAGGGGGATATGATCTCCATGTATAATACATAAGAGGGGATATGATCTCCATGTATAATACATAAGGGGGGGGATATGATCACCATGTATAATACATAAGGGGGATATGATCTCCATGTATAATACATTCTTTCTTGGATACACAGAATATAACTGGATATAACATTTATAGGTAAAGTTGATCCAGGGAATATCCGATTGCCTCTCGGGGGATCAGGAAGGAATTTTTTCCCTGCAGGAGCAACTTGTATCATGCTTTGCTGGTTTTTGCCTTCTTCTGGATCAACTGTGGGTTTAGGATTATAACTTTTTTTTTTCTGCTGAACTGGATGGACTTTTGTATTTTTTCAGCCAGACTAATTATGTAACTATGAATGTTTCTACTGGTGGACAATGGAAACAATTATCCTTACATTGGTGGCTGGTGGGAAAAATGTTCCTTACATTGGTGGTCAGTGGGAAGAATGTCCCTTACATTGGTGGTCAGTGAGAAGAATGTCCCTTACATTGGGGGGTCAGTGGGAAGAATGTCCCTTACATTGGGGGTCAGTGGGAAGAATGTCCCTTACATTGGGGGTCAGTGGGAAGAATGTCCCTTACATTGGGGGTCAGTGGGAAGAATGTCCCTTACATTGGGGGTCAGTGGGAAGAATGTCCCTTACATTGGTGATCAGTGGGAGGAATGTCCCTTACATTGGTGGTCAGTGGTAAGAATGCTCCTTACATTGGGGGTCAGTGGGAATAATTCTCATTACATTGGAGGTCAGTGGTAAGAATGTCCCTTACATTGGTGATCAGTGGGAGGAATGTCCCTTACATTGGGGGTCAGTGGGAAGAATGTCCCTTACATTGGTGGCCAGTGGGAAGAATTCTCATTACATTGGTGGTCAGTGGGAAGAATGTCCCTTACATTGGAGGTCAGTGGTAAGAATGTCCCTTACATTGGTGGTCAGTGGGAAGAATGTCCCTTACACTGGTGATCAGTGGGAAGAATACACCTTACGTTGTGGTCAGGGGGAAGAAAGGCCCTTACATTGGTGGCCAATGGGAAGAATGCTCCCTATGTATGTGGTAATTGGTAAGAATGTCCCTTACATTAGTAGTGAGGGAGAAGAATGTCCCTTACATTGGTAGTCAGGAGGAAGAATGCCCCTTATATTGGTGATCAGGGGGAAGCATGCTCCCTACATTGGTGGTCAGTGGGAAGAATGCTCCTTACTTTGGTAGCCAGTGGAAAAATGTTCCGTATGTTGGGGGTCAGGGGAAAAACAAGCCCTGACCACTTTAGTGTGTTGGGGGTGGAACATTTTTTGCAATTACTTTTTGCATTGATCATTGCAGTTCCTGTGTATTATCTGTACATTAGGATGATGATATACATGCAGCACAATGCTAACATAGTATAGCTGCCTTGGGCAACCAGATATCTCCATTCATTACTGTTCAGTACAGTCAAAGCTATAAAACATATCTGAAAGGTTCTTCTATGTAATTATATATTACACATAATGTATTGTTTTCAGTAAATCTATTGTATCGTATCCAGTAAAGCTTTTCTGCAGAACTGATAGTATGTCTAAACAATCTCTCTCTTTCTTTCTCTCTCTTTCTCTCTCTTCCCTTACTACCCCCCATGTATGTCCCATCTTTCATGTCTATTTTTCTCCTGTCTGTATTTCTTCTCCCTGCCTCTTCTCTTCTTTTCTTTCATTGTTCTCTCTTCTCACTTTTTTCCTCTCTCGCTCTCTCTCCATGACACACTTTTTCCCACCTCCTCTCTTTTCTCAATCCTCTCTCTTCCTCTCCTCTCTTCCATTTTCTCCTCTCTTTTCCTTTTCTCCCCTCTTTTCTCCTCCCCTCCCTTCTCCTCTCCTCTCCTCTCCTCCCTCCCCTCTGCACCTCTTCTTTTCTCAGGATCCCCGGGGATTTTGGCACAATCAGGTAAATATAAATATTACTTATATACAGACATTAAATGTGGCTATTGAAGTGTTAGAGCTCTCAGAGAAATGTAGGAGAATGTACGGGTTTAATTAGACGGTAATTAGAAGGTCTGTTCAGGTCTGATTTATCTGTCAGCTGGTGCTGATGAAAGAAAGGGAATTCCTGAACTGACTGCATGAGATATTGTGTAGATGAGGATTGTAAAGCTAAGTGTGTATGTAGAGTCGTATGTCAACATATCATCCCCCAGATTTCCCCTAGAGGACAATGCTCATAGTACGATATCAATGACATGGAGAACTAAGTGGCATGATGTACAATAATTGAAAAAAATGCAGCGCTTCATATTGAAAAAATGACATAAATAAAAAGAATAAATAAAAGAATGAATAAAAGTCTTTAAAAAGTGCAACGTGGCAAACGTGATTCCTTAGATGGTGTTTAAAATAACGTGACTTCCGTGGTTCATGCGGAGTGAGTATATAATGTACTAACCAGATAGCACATGGTTATGTGCGTTGGAGTAAATAAGACCTACTCCAAAGGTACTCTGGGAACCGGAACTCTGCAAACAGGTGAGGTCGTCAGGTGGGGTTGAGTCACCAGATGTCATCAGACCAAAGCAGATTCCGTTATTCCAGTGTAATGTGTGATCATCACATAGGGTACATCATGCAGTATGGATTTCAGCCACCGGGGGGATCATGTACATGGGTGTGCGTCTCCTACCATGGGACACCTTGGGGGGGGGGGGGGGGGGGGCTCACAGTTTCCAAAAAAAAAAAAAAAATGAGCCCAGAAAAAAAAAGGAAAACTCCAATAGTGTAGTATTTATTATAACTACAGGAGTTACAATTGCAAGCAAAAAATAAAGAGTAGAAAAAAACAACTGACACTTACATCCAGAAGTGATGGGGTAGTGTATAGGTCATGAGTCCTTGTACAGGGGGGTCTCCCTTTTTTTTTTGGAAACTGTGAGACCCCCCCCCCCCCCCCCCCATCAAGGTGTCCCATGGTAGGAGACGCACACCCATGTACATGATCCCCCCGGTGGCTGAAATCCATACTGCATGATGTACCCTATGTGATGATCACACATTACACTGGAATAACGGAATCTGCTTTGGTCTGATGACATCTGGTGACTCAACCCCACCTGACGACCTCACCTGTTTGCAGAGTTCCGGTTCCCAGAGTACCTTTGGAGTAGGTCTTATTTACTCCAACGCACATAACCATGTGCTATCTGGTTAGTACATTATATACTCACTCCGCATGAACCACGGAAGTCACGTTATTTTAACAACCATCTAAGGAATCACGTTTGCCACGTTGCACTTTTTAAAGACTTTTATTCATTCTTTTATTTATGTCATTTTTTCAATATGAAGCGCTGCATTTTTTTCAATTATTGTACAATACATTAGAGGATTCAGGTATTTCCTTTTTATGCTGGCGGCTGATCTTTTATTATTTTATATTTATTTTATGCTACCCTAGCGCTCGTATATCCACCGTGCCATTCAAGTGGCATGATGATTTGCCAGAAAATTTGCCATATATTCTCTGGGAAAGAATCTCCTGGGAGAGACTAAACAGACATTTACTAATATCTGTAGTTCAGAAAAAGGAAGAGGTTTTATCCCTCGCACTTCAGTTTTAAATGGTGTTGGTATCCTTATCTTCTCCATTTGTTCTGGTGACCACTGTGACTAAAGCCAGTCATACATGATGTGATTTTCTGTCCTGCAACCGTGGGTTGCAGGAAAGAAAATAATTTGATTTCCCCCGTCAACACAGCAATTGTTGATGGGGGAATCCCTCCCACTAAACTATTGTGTTCTCCTGGTGAGGGTTGGTTTGGGGGGAAGAGGAGTGGTGGCATGGAGCCACCATTAGTGATTATTGCTAGTGGCTATATCTGCTGGCAATAATTACATGTAAAAATCCAACATGCTGGTTGTACCCAAGTTGATCGATGGCACAATCAGCCTGCCCATAGATGGTTCAAATCTCAGCCAGTTCCAACTGAACCAGCTGAGATTTGAACCATCTATGGCCTGCTTAAGATAAAACGTTATAAGAAACCAAAATGTTACAGTCCTCACAAGAACAGGAACAGAGGAGAAATCTTCCAATTTGGACACCTGATCTGGTGACAACACTAGTAGATTGTTAAATGTTCAAACATAAAGTTCTCCGAATATTAAATGACCTGTCAGCCAAAAGTACTACAATATTGTATTTGCTGTCAACATTCAATTTTGGAATGAATATACTTTCCTGAGGGAAAACTCTGTTAGAAATTTGTTTTCAAAAAAAAAAAATTCCGTCCTGTTCCTTGGAATTTTCTCATCAATGAAGTAAACAAACGAACATCAATTTGACTTCACTAACTTTTGGAAAATCAAACAAAGATTCCTAAAATGAAAAATTTCACAAAATTTTACTAATGTATGGCTAGCTTTGGAGGAGAGTTCCTTTCACCTTGAAGAAATTTGAGCTTCAGTCTAGTTATTGATATGACAACAGGACAGGTATGGAAAAATAATCCTATTCTCCTCTGTTTGAACAGCCTGCGGGAGACCAATGGTGGAAGGTCGCATTGTCGGCGGGGGAGATGCCGGAAAGGGTGCTTGGCCATGGCAGGTTGAGCTACGGATGAATGGAATGTCGATATGTGGCGGGTCCCTCATCACCAAGTCTGTAGTTCTGACTGCTGCACACTGCTTTGCGATGTAAGGAAACAGACCATCCAAGGTTAAACTGGTGCTGAATACCCACGAGGAAAGAAGGGGGGGGGGGACAAGAGAAGGCAGTATTGGGGCATCTGCCTGGGGCACAGCCAAGACAAGGAAGGCAAAACTGAACAGAAATAGAGAAACTGACTTTGGGCATTGCATGTAAGATGTGCAAATGTCTAAAGTAACTGTAATACGTTGTTTGCTAGGCATGATATCAATCAGTTAATACCTGGTCAAAAACATACACTATATGGCCAAACATTTGTGGACATCCAACCATCACAATAACTACATGGCCAAAAGTATGTGTGCCCCCTCTCCAAATGATTGCATTTAATGTCTCCAGTGAGGGGTCCTGTTAGTACCACACCATACAAAGACATTGTAGACAATAGTGCTCTTCCTCCCTTGCAGTAACAGTTTGGTGAAGACCCTTTTATTTTCCACCATGACGATGACCCTGTGTACAAAGCCAGTTCCATAAAGACATAGTTTGACCAGTTTGGTGTAGAGGAACTCGAGTGTCCTGCACAGAGCCCTGACCTCAACCTACAGAGCCCTACTGAACACCTTTGGGAGGGATTGGAACACTTACTGTACATCAGGTCTTCACTTCAACCTTCAGCACTTGGCCTCACAATTGAGCACAAATGCCCAGAGACACCCTCCAAAATCTTGCAACATCCCTCCCAGAAGAGTGGGAACTGGTATAGCCAGCAGAGGGAAATGAGGAAAGGAGGCAACTTCCCAACTCCATATTAATGCCCATTGTCTTAGAATGACCAACAAGCTCATGTGATGATCGGGTGGCCGCACACTTTTGGTATATAGTGAATTTCAAATTACTGCAATTATATTTTTGACCAGTAGAGGGAATCTACAGCACTTCTTCATTCATTCATTCATTCACTCATTCATTCTAAAGGCAGCAGGTTAGTAAAAATGAAAGGATAAGTTCACCTTTGGGAACACGTTACATGTTCCACCCATTTTTAGAGTATAGCATGTAGCATGTTCCTCATCCTGCAGCCGCCGAAAAGTTCCCCATACTAGCTGTCAGTTTTCAAAAACAGCGCGGCCATGCGGGGCTGCGCCCACAGAGCCACATTATTCATTCACAGTGTCCTGTGAATGAATGGACTACAAATCTTAGTGGCTCTTGGCTTGTAGTCCTCAGTGAACTACAATGGGCACTGTGAGCCCTGTGATAGTTCATTGAGTCTTCCTGTCAACAAGTATCAGCTTGCCTGCATGGGATGTACAGGAAAGCAGATACACTGACAGTGTGCAGGAGACCTGCATGGCATCAGGGATCAGAAGATCGCTGGTGCAATGCTTTACAGGTGCAATGCAAATTTTTTACCTGCAAAAAATATATGCTTTTATTATTTTTTTGTGGAAAGGTGAATTTACCCTTTAAGGAGATACATGGGAATCTATGTATAAAAATGTTACCGTGCCCTAAGCATTCGCACAGGCACAGTGAACTATCGCCATATTATTTTTAATATGATTATCTCCTATAATTGTCAGCTCCATCTAGTGGTCATAAAGCATTTTTTATGATTGAGGTATTTTAGAAAAATACTATATTATGGCCAGTAGATGGAGCTGATGATCATAGGAGACAATGATACTACAAACAGTATGGTGACTGTGCCTGTGTGAATGCTTAAAGTGTTACTAAACCCCCAACAGTACAATCAGTCTGTATATGCAGTGAAGCATGCTTGTTATACTCACTGTGGAAAAAATATATTTTTTCGTTGTTAGCCTGTAATCCATATGTGTGTGGTAGAGAAGTGGGTGAGCTTTCATGTCCACATGGGAGACAAAGGTCTCCGAGCTGAACGCACGCTCATAGCGCACATCCAGCACTGAGGCCGAGTTGTGGAAGACAGAGCTGTGTTAATGCATGGGCACTGCCCAGGGGCCTCAGGTACATTGGGGGCCCCATGATAATCTTACATTACATCATACTTGCCAACTGTCCCAGATTTGCCGGGACAGTCGCTCTTTTTTCTAAGCTGTCCTGGGATGGCCCGGGCAGCATCCTAGAACCTGTACTGTGCCCTCCTGGTTCCAGTATTGTGCCCTCCTGACTCCCCCTGTACTGTGCCCTCCTGGTCCCAGTATTATGCCCTCCTGGTCCCAGTATTGTGCCCTCCTGACTCCCCCTGTACTGTGCCCTCCTGGTCCCAGTATTGTGCCCTTCTGGTCCCAGTATTGTGCCCTCCTGGTTCCAGTACTGTGCCCTCCTGACTCCTCCTGTAGTGTGCCCTCCTGGTTCCAGTATTGTGCCCTCCTGACTCCCCCTGTACTGTGCCCTTCTGGTCCCAGTATTGTGCCCTCCTGGTCCCCTGTATTGTGCCCTTCTGACTCCCCTGTACTGTGCCCTCCTGGTCCCAGTATTGTGCCCTCCTGACTCCCCCTGTACTGTGTCCTCCTGGTCCCAGTATTGTGCCCTCCTGACTCTCTCTGTACTGTGCCCTCCTGATCCCAATATTTTGCCCTCCTAGTCCCAGTATTGTGCCCTCCTGACTCTCTCTGTACTGTGCCCTCCTGATCCCAATATTGTGCCCTTCTGGTCCCAGTATTGTGCCCTTCTGGTCCCAGTATTGTGCCCTCCTGGTCCCAGTATTGTGCCCTCCTGACTCTCTCTGTACTGTGTCCTCCTGGTCCCAGTATTGTGCCCTCCTGGTCTCAGTATTGTGTCCTCCTGACTCCCCATGTACTGTGCCCTCCTGACTCCCCATGTACTGTGCCCTCCTGACCTCCCCTGTACTGTGCCCTCCTGGTCCCAGTATTGTGCCCTCCTGATCCCCCCTGTACTGTGCCCTCCTGATCCCCCTGTATTGTTCCCTCCTGACTCCCCCTGTATTGTGCCCTCCTGGTCCCAGTATTGTGCCCTTCTGAATCCCTCTGTACTGTGTCCTCCTGACCCCCCCCCCCCCTCATTCTGTGCCCTTTGTGTTGATTAGTCTTTGATTTATGGCATTTTCTTCTATTGTTTAAAATCAATTTTACTGAAAGTACTAACAAATATATATTTAATTCTAACAACTATTTTTGCTTTCATTCTTGAGAGTAGGTGCGCAAATTGTGTCAGGCTGGTAGGGGCCCCAATGCATTACTTTGCCCAGGGGACTATGATACTATTACGATGGCCCTGCCAAGAGACAGCTCTTGATCTATGCTAATGATCAGGAGTCGGTGGGACCAGGCTCCCAATCATGTGACCACTATGATAGCCAATCACAGTGGTCACATGATTGGGTACACCTTCCCGCCACCCTCCCCCCAGGCATTATAGACCAGATAGCACGACACAAGGGTGGGTTACAAATAGGATGAATATTTTTCATCCATGAATGCTTAATAAAACTTTGAAATGTCATATTCGATCTACCTCGACCCATCTTGTAAATGTTTATATACTAACTCCTCTCTCACAGGCCTTTGAACATCTCCATTTACTCGGTCTACCTTGGGGTGCACCGGCTCACCAGCCTGGAGGATAGCAGCATAGTGGCCAGAGAAGTCCAAAATGTCATCATAAACCCGAATTACACCGTAGATGGATCTGGTGGGGACATCGCCCTGATTGTACTAGATGAACCTGTGGTATTCACACCCTACATCCTTCCCATCTGCCTACCATCTCCGACTCTTCAACTTCCAGAAGGGACCCAATGCTGGGCAACTGGCTGGGGGAACATTCAAGAAAAAGGTAAGCTTTGTAACAAAATGTCAAAAGACACGTTAATATCGTGAGCTAAGTGGAACGTTAGTCACATGAAACATACAATTCCGCACCTCTCCACCCACCCTGCGTCCTACCCAGAAAGTACAACAATTATTGAAGCTTCCCGAGTTGATTTTATTTGTAGTTATACCTTTCTGTAAAATTAACCCTGAATTTGACCTGTAGACAGTGGTGTATTTAGGTTTCATGCTGCCCTAGGCAACACAAAAATTGCCTCCCCAGAGACCCTGACACCGACCAACACCCCCCCCCCCTACCCAAGAGAGCCTTCCACTACCACCACCCCTGATACACTGGCCACCCCCCCTACACACACACCCTAGCGAGAGAGAGTAGACACTCACCTTCACAGCTCCGAACATCCCCGGGAATGAGAGACGGGCTCCACATACACCATCAAGCAGCCTACAGCCTCTCTCAGATCCCACCTGGTCCCCATGCTACGTGTATCCCCTCTTCCATCCCTTATTCCAGGGGGCGACGCTGCTCCCCTGAAAAATACCGCCCTAGGAGAATGCCTTGTTTGCCTTGTGGTAAATACGCCTCTTCCCATTGAAATCAATGGAAAACGCCTGAAAAATGCCTGAAAAACATCTGAAAAGCACCTGAAAAGAGCCTCAAATATGCCTCTTCCCATTGAAATCAATAGAAAATGCCTGAAAAACATCTGAAAAGCGCCTAAAAAGTGCCTCAAAAATGCCTATTCCCATTGAAATCAATGGAAAACGCCTGAAAAGTGCTTCAAAAATGCCTCTGAGAAGTCACGTGTCCTTTAAAAAATGCTCGGAAAGCGCGGCAAAAGTGATGTAAAAACGCCTATGCGTTTTTGCGGCGGATCAGTGTGAAAGTAGCCTTAGTTGTCATTAATTTTTTCTCAAGGGGGTTCTTTTTGCATCTCCAGAACATTCATTTTGTGCCGTTATTTTAGCAATCCGTTGCATGAGTTTGAGATGTTATAGTTCCGTATTTTTCCCAAAACCTTTTTTTATTCAGGCTGATGGCCAGCAGGTGGCGCCATAGAGAAGCTTTAATAGTAATGCTTTGTTCTTTGTTTTTCCCAGCTCCGCTCCCATCCCCCACAACCCTACAGGAGGTGCAGGTGGCTGTGATCAGCAACCAGAACTGCGAGGCCATGTATCGCTCCGTGTTTAGGTACAGGCCTAGTA